TTTTTATGGTTTTAGTTTTAGTTAAAGGGGTCATATGATGGGATTTCAATTTTTCCTTTCTCTTTGGGTTTTAATGTTTTTGTCTCGTCGCTCCGGCCGGGACACGGCATCAACAGTATGGCGAGGGGCGTAACATTTCTGTCACACGCTTGAGGTAGCTTTGTAAAAATCGACGCGTTTCAAAAAGGCGGGGCATAGAGGAGAAACAATAATGTACAGTATGTGGAAAATAATGTGTTTTTTGAACCTTAAACACATTTCATTACACCAAATACACAAAATAATGTTCTTTTTAGCAACATCATATGACCCCTTTAACTATAATAACCCTGCAGTGATTTATTAAATATTACTGAAAATTAACATGTTTTAGTTTAGTTTAGTTAAGTTTTTTTGTGTGTGTGTTTGTTTGAAATGAAGGTAGTTCTGATTTGGCAAAAATCATCCTTTTTTAGCAATTTCAAAGCAAATACATAAATATAAGTTATATATCAAATATTGCCAAAATGCTGAAAAATATTGAGATATAATTGTGCTATGTTATGTCATCCAGTCTTACTTCTGAGATTTATTTTTTTTTATTTATTTATTTATTGTTTGTAATAGCTGCAATTTAATGACATCTGTTCTGATGAACCAGCGACTCGTAATTGAGAAACTTAAATCAGTATTTCCATGACTCCATCTACAGCTATTAATTTTTATTAACCTTCACTGTAAGCCCTTGTCTATAGACCTCGCTTCACCTCTGATGTCTGTCTGTTGCACAAAACAGTCATCCGCAAAGAGGAGGCATGCCTTGTTCGTAGAGCGTGTACAAGGAATCGGTCACGTACAGTAACAGAGCACTCAGCTCATTGAGATGTGGGCCGCAGTCCTCCGGGGGCTGGTCCTGTCTGACGCCAGCACTCACTGTGATGAATAAAAGTCAGAGCAGTCAATGAGCCATCACTGAGCTGACAGGAGACGTCTGCAGCAAACCCTCCTCAGCTCCATTGTGCCACTGTGCCATTTTTCTGAGATTTACCTTTGAAAACCTTGCAACCTATAGCTCACCTTAGGCTCTGAAGCCTGTGAATATAAAGCTCTTCCTTTCTGACTGTTTACATGGAGCATGATGTATTTAATGTTTTTGATTTGATTAGATTTCAATGAATTCATTTTATGCAGTCAAGGGAAATAAGTTATGATTTAATTTAATGCAGAACTGGAAAGTAAGCTGTTATATAGCTAACTGAAAATACACTGTCGCCCAGTATTTGCATATGTAATGTATTTTTGTGTTTATTAGAATATTGTGTCAACAGTTTGGATTTAGTCAAATTTTACAATTTTATTTAAAGAAAAGAAATTAATATTTTATTATGTAAAGAAGCTTTAATTTGATCAAAAGTGACAATACAAACATTTATCATGTTACAAAAGATTTATTTTTCATATAAATTCTGTTCTTTTGAACTTTCTATTCATCAAAGAATCCTGAAAAATGTTTTACCCTTTCCACAAAAAGATCAAGCAGCACAACTGTTTTCAACATTGATAATAAGAAATGTTTCTTGAGCACCAAATCGCTGAAGACTGGAGTAATGGCTGCTGAAAATTCCCAGGAATAAATTACATTTTAAAATACATTAAAATGATTTTATATTCACAGTATTAGTGTTTTTACTGTATTTATTTTTATCAAATAAATGCAGCCTTGGTGAGTATAAGAGACTTCTATAACGAAAAATGTAAATCTTACCAACCCCAAAGTTTTCAGTGTATTATATATTATTATATATAATACATTTTAAATAACAAAATATTTATTTAATAAAGTAAATAAATAAAGAAGCGTTTTTTAATTTGATTTGATTTTTATTTAATTGCCTAATTTTTGTAGTTTTTTATCACTATCCACTGGTTTGAGCTTCTCTTTCAAACCCTTTAGATTCCTTCTTGCGTTGTCAAAGCATCCTTTTTTTTTTTTTTGGCTAAAGTTATTTGTGTTGTTTGCAGGGTATAATATTTCCATTCAACTTTTTCAAGGCTTTGCCATTACCTTCACATCTCATTTTGGTAATGTACAATTTCCTGTCAATCTGAATGCAAATTTGGAAAGCTTTTAAACTCACTTAGATGTCTTGCCCATTTCAGAGTATTTTGTAAGTCTCTTACAAGAACAACCAGAATTATGGACCGCAGTGTGTCAGAGCCAAATTGCAGGTTTGGAAAATTATGTATGGATTCTCTCTTATTGTTAGTTCCGAATGAGGCGTAAGTGCAGCTGTTGGCAGGCTGCAGGTGGTGTGGGTTGTTCCTGCAAGGCGAGGGCAAGAACTGTGAAGTGCTTTTTCTACCGCAGTCTCCCTGTTCACTGCCAAACATACACACATACGCACCTTGTGCTGCTCGTGCTCGCTGTTAAGGCCAATATTCAAACCCACAACTCACCCTGAGCCATTGTCAAATACACATTTTAGAGTCAAGGGGGATCTAACACCACCAATGTCATTTATTGTCTAAGTGGGTATGATTATAGCTCGATTTTGACTGTTCCTAACAGCTGACATATCAGTTTCAAAACACACATTCCCAATGAAAATTCACTCCTCTTAACCCTTTGGCTTGATTGATCACCTCCGCTCAGGTTTGCGCACATACTGAAGATCTGTACAGTCATTATGCCTTTGAACAAAGTGAAGCATTTAAATGCGGTAATGATACTGTAATCGGTTGTTGAGAAAAAGCCCAGCTCTGACTTCATTTACATCCACAGCAGGTGATACATCATACCTTTACACTTTTTGACAAGAAACTAGAACGTTTCTCCAAAAGAGGACATGCATCTTGTGTTCTTGCCTCCAGTTATATTAAACATTGTGTTATTATCAGCTGACCATCCGTTCACTCCTCGCTCCTGCTCTCTGCATCTGTTTCTTCTGCACTGTTGCCTGCTCTCTGGCACTCAGTCTCTGTTGTGCAGTTTTGCAGTCAAGTAATTAATGAAGGACTTTTTCTCCCTCAATGGGTGAGTCACAGGCTTTCTGCTGGAGCGCTCTGGAGTAATGAGATGCAGAGAAAAGGATTGCAATAAAGAGGAGTGGAACATCACTATATCACTTTCACATTGAGTTGAATTTTGTCTGTTAGGACAAACTGTGCCTTTGAAATTCTATTAATAGTAAAATAGACATGAAAGGACGTGTATATAGTCCATATATATATATATTATTTTGAAAGAATTGTATTAAGTCAAGCAAAGATCCAAGTCTTTTTACTTCAAAATGTCACATATTTCAGTGTTATTTGCCATTTCTTTGTAATTGTGAAATTAAATGAGTGAAAATTGTTTCTGCACCCTTGTAATTAATATCTTATGCATTCGTATATTAATAATAATTGCACTTATTTATATATATATAAATATTAATCATTATATGTTCATGTTATGTCAGCTGCCCTTATTCAGTATGTCTAGATATTGCTATAACAGTTTATATTCAGGAAAACATAAAAGTTCACTGTTAAGTGTACATTGTACGGTATGTGCACTTGTTTTCCTTGCACGGGCAAAAAGAGATGCTTTAAAAAGTCTTTGAAGCAGCATCAAAAGAAAAATTATTTGGCTGAACATCATTATTGTGTATTTCAGTAAAGCAGCACATGCATAAAAATCTCTTTGTTTTCCAATATCAAGGGTGCTCTCTCAGTGCTGCAGACCCGTGGGGATTTCTTTCTTTCCTTTTTTTTCCCCCCCCGTGACTTGATCCTTGTGGTGACAGAATAAGCTTTGTGCTTTCCATGAATTGGAATTTTTAATGGCGTTGTCCATTGTTCAACTAAAATAACAATTTAAAAAAAAAAAAAGTAAAATGTCAGTACTTTTACATACTCAATTACGTAGATGCATTGTTAATTGTGTAACTGTGGCCTTCTTCACAGGTTGTGGACTGCTCTTGGGATGAGACTGTAAAAGTCTTCACCCCTTCATGCCTGGCCGCCCTATAGGAGGTTAGTGCACCATAAGAAGATGTTGCCGCAATGCACGGGGGAGCCACAGCTCTGTTTCAATCACAGGTGCAGAGTTTGCCAAGATTTCACTGCGGTTTTCCTAATGACGCTATTAAAGGAGAACCCGTGGGACTCATCAGGAGCGCCGTACAGAGATGAGGGGGAATCTCATGCTGTCACTGAGTGTAAAAACTGAGTGTGGTGTTATTATAATGTTTCTTACATGTAAAATCAAACTAAAAGTGAGTTTACCTTAAGCAGTGAGTGCCTTGTTGTCTGAAGCTCATTGGTTATGTAGTATGTGTATGTTGTTATTTCTTACTGGTTTGTTAAACTTATATTAATAAATCAATGCAATCTGTCATTCTCAATATCTTATCTTAAATCCTGAGCTTTCCTTTAATCTAATGAATATTGCCTCCCACACAATTTTAACAGACACAGGTGAATATTTTATCGAAGTTTGGGACACAGTGAATATTGTTTGTATTTGTCTTGGGTCAGTATGGAGGAATAAATATCCAAAGTATACAAGCATTTAAAGGTTTAACAGTAAAATACTGTTATGAAAAAGTACTGTGTGGGTATAACCTGTGCAGCAGGGGCGTGTCTACATGGTGGCCAGGGGTGGCACCGGCCCCCCCTGAAATTTGGCTGGCCACCCCAGGTGCCCCCCCTACCAGATGTCTTGCCATAGGCTTGTTTTTAGTAAATTTCTAATTTTAGGCGGTTTCTATAGTGTGATCTTAATGACAATGTCGAGAGCGCATAATGTTACGCGATCCATGTGCGCAAGGACGAATCTCTCCACTCCCAAACGGATTTCCTTCACTCACACAAAACTGGACGTGTGCTTTTAACATACATCGTTCCGCAAACACAAACAGCGCTCGTGTTGCGTGAGTTACGCACGAGAGGAGAGTGGACGTGAATATTCAGCAGTGGAGTCAGAGCTCAGTGCGTAATACGGAGACGCCGGGAAACTCCAGTCTACGAGGAAAGACATGGAAGTTTGCAAAGGACGGTTGCTTGGCATTTCGGTGGCCGTTGCGCATGGATTTTTTTCGGGATCGCTGAATATTTTGTTAAAATTCCTCATCACGACCTATAGCTTTACATATCTAACTTTAATTCAGTGTCTGACCAGCGGCACTGCGGCGCTCACATTAGAGGTGCTGAGGAGACTGGGCAAAATAGATATACCACCCTTCAGCCTCCAGTTAGTCAAAGTTTTTGCGAGTGTCTGTATTTTGTCAACTTTGCAGTCCACATTAACCCTCTGGTCTCTCAGGGGCCTGAGTTTACCTATGTATGTTGTGTTTAAGCGATGCTTGCCCTTGGTAACATTGGGGATTGGAGTGTGTGTGCTGAAGAATGGGATCCCATCAGCTGGGGTAATAACAGCGGTTCTCATCACCACTGGAGGAGCAGCACTGGCTGGTAAGAATCATTTGGGTGTTCATAAATAATATTTGTAATAGTTTTTACTTTATATTGAGGTAATCACACTTTTCACTCCAGTGAATTTTTCTTAATTTAGATTCTTTTTTAAGTAAATTTCTGTAGACACATTCCTTAAAGTCTTGGCTATGAAAAACCTTGGAACATTTTCACCGCAATTCCCAGGGAGAGAAAAAAAAAAAGATCGATTTACCACTAGTGGGGCATGTTGTCACAACGGAAACTGTCATTGAACAGCCTAAAAGGTTTTCAGCTCAATTTAAACAGTAAAACAATCACGAAAAATAAAACAATTAATGAAACAGCAAATATATTAGAAACAGTCTACACTGTAATTAATACGTTTGTAACATGTAAAACCCACATGACAACATAAATTCGACATTTATTGACAACAAAAAGAAAACCTAGTCCTGCGAACAGTTCAGCATTTGAGATCAAACTTCATTATATTGTTGACTCTTAGTTTTGATGATAAAATTCATAAAGATTATTCTAATTTAAGAAGGGTTTGAACTAAATAAACCCAACATAGAAAATCTGCTAGACAAAACCGGGCATACAGCTATTGTGACAACTTGCCCCGGTTTGATAACTAGCCTTCCATAAAGTCTACCCGATGTAAAATTCCTCCTTTTCTGTATCTTCCTAATTGTCATTTATTTTTCCAAGAAGTGTCTATGTAAATATATTATACTAATGTTCCTATGATTATTATAGCAACAGTATTTTACTAATGTGTTTTGAACTGCTTCTGAAAATTAAAGCAAATTAAGCAAAAAATAATAACTTGTTTTGTCCATAGTATGACATTTAATCTTGTGCAATTCCTGACAATGCAATTTCTGTACTATGCATGTGATGTCTGCATAAAACAAGCTTCTCATACAGAGTTTCATTTGATAATGGCCATAAATCATGTATGGCGCAGTCTCTGTTTAACTTTGCAGTGCGTCGCTCTGTTTTCGTGCAGGTGCTGGAGATCTAACAGGTGACCCTTTTGGCTACGTGACTGGCATTTTAGCTGTGATTGTCCACGCCTCCTACTTGGTGCTCATCCAAAAAACGAGTGCAGACAGTGATTATGGGCCGCTCACAGCCCAGTACACCATTGCAGTGGTGGCCTCTCCCATTCTCTTCATCTGTTCCATTGTAAGTATGGATGCCATTGACATGTGGACGTATGAAGGTTGGAAGAACCCGTATATCACAGGTATCTTCTGTACCTGCATTCTCATTGGCTGTGCGATGAACTTCACCACACTGCACTGTACCTATATCAACTCAGCCGTCACTACCAGCTTTGTGGGGGTGGTCAAGAGTATAGCTACTATCACTGTGGGCATGTTGGCCTTCAGTGACGTGATGCCAACCAAACTGTTCGTGGTAGGCGTGGTAGTCAACACCATCGGCTCCATCACCTACTGTGCGGTGAAATATCATGAAACCAAAAAGAAGTTAACCTACCAGGATATGGACGAGTCCGCTAAAGATGAAGAACTTCCAGGAGAACCTTATGTGGAACCAGCCAAGCCTGATGGAGATATGGAAACTCTTCCAAATGATCTGGAGAGCGTTCCCAATGGCAGCCTGACAGCATCAGTTGACAGCCATGACCAGGGTCCAATTTGTGAGAATAAAGTGGCAGAGTCCATAGAATTAGAAAGACCGGGGATCCCATCAGACGATCCTACGAGACAATCTCTGAGCGACAGTTATGTAGGGGTCTGGAGATCCGTTCGCACCTTAAAGTTCTTTAAGAAAGACACTTTACTTGACAACATGGAGGTTCAAAGTCCTTGATGATTGGTTTCCCGCTTGACAGGAGTGCATGTTAAATTTAAGGATTGTTGAACTGATGGTGTGAACAATGTTTGCCTTTTTTCTGTCTTGAACATGATTTTATGAAAAACATTTATTTTTTTATAAAAAGGTATAGTCTGTTTGTACATTAGAGGGAGTATGACTATATGAGGAATCCCCAATAACAGATGTGCCATTTTATTGACTTAAAACAAAATAACAAATATCTTAATAATATGTCAATTCTGTCATCATTTACTCATCTTCATTTCTTTCCAAACCTGTATGACATTCTTTTTCTGTGGAGCATAAAAAGGAAATCAATGGGAACCAAAACTGTTCGGTTACCAAAATTCTTCAAAATGTGTGTGTGTGTGTGTGTGTGTGTGTGTGTGTGTTTCGCAGAATAAAAGTCATACAGGTTTGGAACATCATGAGGGTGAGTAACTGATGACAGAATTTAAAAAAATTTTAATTAATTGGGCTGTTTTTATTTCGAATGATTATTTGATGTTTCTATGCACGCAGTGTCTGTGCCTGTATATTTTCTGTGTTTTGTCGACGAATGCAAATCTTGAATAGGAGGCACTGAATTTTCCTATTTTGCATGTAGTATGCAGAAATAATTTAAACTGATTTTATATCAAAATTCTGTTCTTTGTGTATCATCCTTAATAATTCCCACCAACTGCTTTAGCTTGATGAAAGTGTGTGATCATTTAGAATCATCTTTAACTACTGGCCATCTGGGAAATGGTTTGCTTATCAGTGATTCACAACTGGTGGGTCACGACTGTCACGACCAAGAAATGTGTTGCGAGTCTGTTTGGACAATAGGGAAAAACAATATTTTATCCAAATAATAAAATGCAACTGACCATATAATCATGCATAGGTAAGACAGGAAAATAGTTAAACTTTTAAAATGGCAGAGAAAATGCTTCCTATATGTTTTTCTTGTATTTTGACAAATTAGACAAATGCCAATGCCAAAATGGACAAGTTATGTGACATGCACTCGTTTTCATAAACCAACAAAATTTTGCAAGGTGGAAGAAAATAGAACCTAGACTATATTAAATACAGATTCACTTGCAACAAGGATAAATGTGGTTTAAGCCGTCCATAATGGGTTTTGTGTTGTGGAATATAGTTTGTTGAGAGCATTAAATCAAGAGACAAGAAAAAGACTTTTGGGGATCTGATCACATCAGAACAAATAATCAAAGTATAGTGTGGTGTTTGGTTTTGGGACATTTTTGTTTGTTTGTTTGTTTACTTTTAATTTGGTACTGTGCTGGGTTTCCACTTGTTCAGTTTTAAAAACGGAGTACTCTCACAGCTGAGAACCACTGAATTCACTTAAAGTCAATATCTATTGAGCTTGTGTTAGCTGACTTTACCAAATGTAATGTAATTGTAATGTAATTTAAATGGGTTCGTATTAGCAAAAGCAGACCGCCATCAACCAGGTTCTTTAGCAACTGCTAGACTTCTGAAAATGCAAAACATCAAGAAATATATTTCTAAACAGAAGTCTTATAGCTTTTTTATGTAACACAGTGAACATAAATAAATAGTGTACTTGCTAAAATTAGAGTACATTGGTTGCTTTACAGTAAGCACTTCACCCAAAAACAAAACAAAAAAGAATTGCTGAAAATTCATTCACCCTCAGGCAATCCAAGATGTAGATGAGTTTGTTTCTTCATTAGATTTATAGAAATTCAGCATTACATCATTTGCTCACAAGTGGATCCTCTGCAGTGAATGGGTGCCGTCAGAATGAGAGTCCAAACAGCTGATAAAAACATCACAAGGAATCCACACCACTCCAGTCCATCAGTTAACATCTTGTGAAGTGAAAAGCTGCGTGTTTGTTAGAAACACATCTACATCTTGGATGGCCTGAGGGTAAATTTTCGGCAAATTTTCATTTTTGGGTGAACTATTCCTTTAATGGCAGGATAATGCATCCAAAGGTTTCAAAACCTAATTTTTTGGTTTGTTAGTAGCATTCATTATTCTCTGTCAGAAAGCATCTCTTTAATGAATAAATGTAAACCAGACTTGAATGAACTAAACTTTAGATCTCTCAGAACAGTATTATCTGTTGTGACACTAAACCACAGAGCAACAGAGGTTTACTATATAGGGAACATTCATGTTACACTCCCCATGGCTTTCATCCATTTAAAATGATCTTTGCCTGACAATAAACAAGTGAAAGCAAATAAACTTCTCATGAGTACCAGGTGCTTTTGTTATCATTTTTCAGTTATAATAGATGGCACAGCATGGAGTATTATCCTCTTCATTTTGCTCAAGGCATAGTATGAAAGACAATTTACCAGACAATATAGCACAAGCCCTCAGAGCCAAACGTGTTAAAAGTTAATGTCATGCTTGAAGCCATGAGCAGAAAAGATGTTGTGTTTTGTGTACTGATCACATTGGTTTTCGTGAAGCATTTGTTTGGTTTTTGGTTTTATGTTCCCATTCTCAATATGATTTATGGCCAATTTAATTTAACATTCAATGGTCAAACAGATTTGCATATCTTTACTTGATCGGACTGGAGTTGA